TGTGTAATATACTTATTAAACACACTTCTTTATTATATGAAAAAAATAATAGCAATAGCTAGATAATACGTTTTATCAGAACAGAGAAAATACAATTTAGGGACAACCACAATTTAAATAATTATAGAAGTACTTTGATTGTGTATTAAATTATCATTGAAATATAGTATTTATGCTTATACAATTTGATTTAAAATTTATATGGATTTACGTCTCACAATTACTTTTGGAATAATTGACGTATATTTTGTGGACAATTGACAACTTTGAGTAAGTTTCAATTTTTTCGGATTGTTATTTTCCACCAACTCTGGACGTTGTTGGGGTTCTATAGGTAAAATAGTTTGCATTAACAAATAACCGTCTTCTCCTAGTTCGCTTGTTTCTCTCCCAGGAATAAGTGTTCGCCTGAATAAAAATAAATGATTTTGTATTTATTCTAATTTGTAAGTATTTAAGAAATTCCAAAGATATGTTATACTTATTTCAAGAAAAAAAAAACTTAGATGACGTTTACAATCAGAAAAAAATAACTGTTCACTATACAGACATCAGTAGTCAGTAATATATATGTATAAAGCAAATGCAGAAGTTTACAAAAATCTTTTATTTTTGCTTTTTAGTATATTTTTAGGCATTTTACTTAATAAATAAATTGTTAAATACAATTTTTATAATAAAGATCTTATAATTAGATATGATTAAATTTATACACTCTTATTTAGTTTGTCAATATTAACCTGTCTGATCCTAATTAAATAGTATCTACTCAAATAAATAATAAGTAAGACTAGGCACTCGGAAATTATAGGATCTATAACAGATAAAACATGTTTAAAAAATATTAAATATGCAAATTATTCAAACTCAGAAAAAACATCTTTTTAAATTTTAAAAATACTGTAAAATATCAATCGTGTACAATAAGTTCACTAAAGAATAAACAATAAATATGTTAATCATAAGTTAAACATAGGTGAAACAAGAAGTCAGGCTAGTCAAACCATGGATATGACTTAACGCTGACAGGATATCGGCCTCAAAAATGATATACGAGATAGGGTAAATAAGAAAATGAAAACACCATTTTTATGGTTATTTTCCTGAAATGTGATGACAGAAACGATAAATATCTATTTTTATGACTGTTTACAATAATAATAATATATTATAATGATAATATTCACTTTTTTCTAAAATTGACGAAATATGCAACATGTGAATTTTAAATTTTCGATTTTTAAACTTTTCATCTCATAGTTCAGATGTCTAGCTTGGTCTATTATAAATTGAGAGTAAATAGAACAATATGCAAATCCTATAACTACCGAGCCATACTAATAAAATATATTAATTATATTGTTCTTGTAATCGTTGGGATTTTATTGTTATCTAATTTATATAACGATTAACAATTATATTATTTATTAGTTTAATTAATTATTTATCTTTATGATGAATATTAATGTTTTTCAATTTAATATTAAAAGTTCAAGTTTTAATTTTATAAATTAATATAATGTTAAGGTTAACTATGTTATAATTGAAGTATTAATAAATGTTTTGATTAGGCTTTGTATTTTAATATTTTTTTTAAGTTTAGAAATGTTAATAATATACCTGACGTTAAGATCTTACAAGAATACAAAATTATTCGTGTATTTTTTAAATACTATAGTACGTAATTTTAACTACCAGTTGTATATTCGGCGTATTCTCGATCTTCTTCTTGTGTATTGATAGTTATTGTCAACATAAACGTAACACCAGCGTATGAAAGCCACAACAGAATAACAAACGATTAAATTACAAATACATTCCAGTAATTTCAGGGTAGTTTGGTTCATTTTATACTGTGATTCTAAGCACTTGTTTATCTATATGAATGAAAAATGCATAATCTCTTCAATTATCATATTATCATGCGGAGTATTTAAAATAATATTATTCAATTAAAGAGCATATAAAAACGTTGGGTTTATTAAAAAATGTAATAAATAATAATAAAGATGCTTAATCATATTAATTGGTTTTTCTTTTATGTATATTTTATTTCTAATAATATAATAAAAACGAATAACTACGTACCATTGTAAGAAAAACTAACGTGTAAACTTTAAGTATAGGTACTAATCCATCTGTCCAACATTGACTACCACTCCATACTAACATTGAAGTAAGTGTTATCTACAAATAAAAGTATTTAAATTAATAATAAAAGTTTTATTTTTTTGTAAAAACAACATTCACATAATAAACGTAAAATAATTTCGTATTTTAAAAGACTTGAAAGAAAATTCCTTTATATTAGTTATTTATTAGATATATAACAATATAGCTAAGTACATTGTTTTATATATTGTATTTTTAACGATTACGTCTTACAATAAATTGCTATAAATTGGTCATTAAAAATTTTTTCTAAACTTTATTTAACTTTTATTTGAGTTTTATATTCTTTTATAATTATATATAGGTATATGTGATTATTTTTATACGAAATAAATAATAAAAAACGATCTCTAACAAAATAAATATACAATTATTTAAATAGTTTTACATTAAGACCTACTCAATAACATTTTACAGATAGCAACCGATGAAGCACGAAACTATATTTTATTCTTGAAAAAATATCGGATTATATAATAAGCAAACGCGATAATAATATTATAAACCACTTTAAAACTCTTATAAAAATGATTTTAAATGACTTTTTGAGTTATTATCATCCTTGTAATTATTTCATCTAAATTGCCTATATTGAATCCCTTACAAATCGTTACTGTTGCGTCGTTTTATTGCTCTTCTAATAATAGTTACTACTTACTTCTAACACTTTTAAACCATACACATTAATTTATGATAAAATTTATTAATAAAATATAATTTAAAAATAATATTTCAACTATGATTATATCGTAAGTACCTTCAGCCAGAATGTCCACCATGTATTTTTCGGAACTCTATGCAGACGGCGTTGTCTTTGATTTGGATTCATATATGCTACTATATATGTTTCGGATAAACGCCAGAAGTAATAAAGAAATAAAATTGAAGGTAATAATGTAATAATTGATGAACCGCAGTTAAATTTCTGTGTAGATTGTAATACACTTTCGATTAGGTGTTCATGTGTAGTCATTGTGGATGGTAGTTGTTACGTTTAAAACGAGTGCCCTCTAATTGATTTTAATTATTTTGAGATTTGGTTTGAAATTTAAACTGTATTAGTATTTTTATTTTAATACTATGACAGATGTATTTGTGGTTGCCTGTTAAACTTTTAATTGTTTAAGCCAGTTCACTATTACGATGTTTCTGCGATTATTATTATAAGAATGTTCTTAAGTAAAGCAATACTGTTATTTATAATTAAGAGATATTGTTTTACATAAGTTATACATTGGTATACACTATATACTTATAACTTATAACATATAAAAGGCTAAATAATGTATAGTAGTATAAAAGCAAGTATAGCAATAATTTATTATTAGTTTAAACAACTATAAAAGCTTACAATATTCTCTGGTAGGTACTATTGATAAAACAAATACCACAACTTAAATAAAACTTGATCATCACTTAGTATAATTATTATATTTATAGTTTAAAAATATATTTTAGATCATTAAAATAACACTTCTATAATAAGGTGTCATCAATTATATTTTTAAATAATACTATTTGTAAAATTTTTAAATACCATTGTTGAATTAGTTGAAATATTTTAAAATAAATATACCAAAATTCGTTCAACTGTAGATTTCGAGTAAAGAAAGTTGTAAATTTGTACCAATTCAATGACAATAATCATTGCATATGAAAAACGTTTTTGAGTGGAAAAGGTGTTAGTCTCTATTTCTAAGAATATTTTATAATTTATTTTAATTATTGTTAATAATTTATTTTTCTATTAGTTATAGACCAATACATTATACGCGTGTATGCTGAAGTAATTTTTGTCAAAAATATTTTATAAACAATAAAATAATAATTATTATATATCTACTACCATTTTAACAATAATTAAAACATCTATAACTATATACTTATACGTAACTATTACTGTTAACAATACATTAACTTAAATTATATAAGTCAATAATGTAAACCGCGTAGTCTAAATATTTTCAAATCTTTACTGTATAGTGAAAATAGTGATAATCGAAGCAGCGTAAAGTTTCAAGATTTTACGATTAATATATTTTAAATTACAATATAATAACTAATTTTTTTTTCCATTAAAATATCTAATTTTATTAAAATTAAAACTTTTTCGGCTTAAAGCATCCAACTTGATATATATATTATTTTATAATAGGTAATATTCAAAACGCCATTTCTTGTAGACTGATCATTATACGAGTAGATTACTGATCAGCATCGTATTTTTGTATTGTAATGCCGTGTTTGAGTTCCTACTATCCTACTTCTGATTGACTAGACTTCTATTAAATAAAATAAATTATCTATGATTATCTAGTTAATTTGCTTCTAAAAATGTTTTAATAGTATAATTGTTATAACCAATAGGTGACCGCTTATCAAGAGAGATTAGGAACTACAGTAATTTTTAGAATATATCGACATTATCAATAAATTTGAGAAACGTTATTTGTGATACCTAAGTCACTTACCTAAAATTAGACATTATAAACAGACGAAATCATTTTAATCAACTCTCACTAATATTGTTTAATAGATAATATTTTATGATGCATTACAACTATTGCTGAAATTATGCATGTTTATTTAAAATAACTTCATAACAAAATTATTTAAAAACATATAATGTTTATGGTGAAAAATAATGATTTTTATTAGGTATAACATATTATCAGAATATATTAATGAGTAAACACAGTTGACAAAATACGATGAACATAAAATGATAAGAAATAAAATTTAAATACTTAAAACTATGTGTATAAATAAATTATATAAAAATAAAATTTTGATATTTTCTTTTTTGATAGGTGTCTACAAAACGTATATTAACTAATTGACGGCAAGAGATCCAAAGAACTATATGAGTATAGTGGTTTTTTATAACCAAATACTGCATCAAATATCGATTTTCCAATCATTGCCAAACCGGCTATCATCATTAGGATGCTCCCGATTGATTGCGTATATGGCAAAACGATAACAGTGAAATACATTAGAGTTGTAATGTACCAAGGTAAACCCACTTGATTCTGAAAAATAATAATTTTTATTTTCATAAGTTTCATATACCAATATTATAATAGAAAATTGTATTACTATTTATAGTACGTCTAAAAATGAATACAAATTAAAAAAAAAAATGTTAAAATATATGCTATTTGTTTCTAAACAGTCATTATCGATATAGTATAATTTATTATTGTATTATTTTAAAGCACATAAGTCACAAATCTTATGATACTGTTACATAATGAAATTTGATTACTTACATATTCAGCCCAAAACATTGGTATTGACATATTACTGAATTTATCGATATTTGAAAATCCACTAGTGGGGTGCATGACTAGATTGCTTTGGCTACGAGCTCTACTTTCGACTGGAACTCCTGTTAACTATTTTAAATATATTTTGTACTAAGATTTAAGTCTTCATATAAATACAAAAATAAAAATTTATTAAGACTAAATTTTTGGTACATACTGGTTCGACAATTAAGTACGAGCCATGATTTTCTTCATTAGGTTTTAATCCAGATATTGATTTTAGCAGTGCTTGATCACCATTGAGGAAATGAGGAAATGAAGCTGCAATAGGGAAATCTGCAAAATAAAAAAATAATTTTATGTTAAATAGATAGTTGTAGTTTTAAAATATAATGTAAGCGTATTTTTTGTTATTTTATTGTAGTTATATTTTATAATTTTGATCATATTAATCTATTTCAAATTGTATTTTGAATTATGCAACTATTTGCTAAGTCAATGCTGTTTAATCCAAAGCATGGATTAGGATTAATCTAAAACTAGAAAGAATTAGATTTAATTTAAAATATTTGAAATTCCGAGCAATTTATTTGAATTATAAATGTAAAAATATAACGTATAACATGCATTCAAATTTCATGACTCCAACAGGTAGGTACTTAATATTTAATATATTGTATTTTAGGATATTATAAAATAGAACGATAAATTAAAAATTATAATTTGTACATATATTTACTCTTACTATAGTCTTTAGTATAGTAAAGTATAAATTATATAAGAAAAAAATGAATAGCTTTAAATTTGAATTTTTCCCTACGCTATAAATTTTATTTTTAACGAATATCTACGTGCATATAGTAGGTATATGTTGATATATAATTAAACAATTTTATCATTTAAATCACTTGAATGTTTTAGTATTTATATTATGGTGAAAAATGTATTTGAAAAGAGAAATTGATCAATGTAAAAAATATGTGGTATAACTATTTTAAAATGTATTCACCCTTTTGAAATATTACATAATACAATGTAAATTAGCAATAATAAAGTTTAGAAGAAGATAAATGTCAATTATTGTGACATATCGTTAAAATCATTTTTCAAATAAAAAATAATACCTAATTTGATACTATACCCTTACAAATAACGTTACAGTGTCAAAGTTTATAATTTTTAATTTTACGTCTTTCTACTAAACACTATTATCCACGCCTATTGATTAATTTATGTAATTAGTGTGCAGTGTGCTAAAAACGAAAGCCAGTAAAATTACATATACTATTGGTGCCTGTATAATGAAAATCAGTAAGATAGAATATTTATACAGATTATAATTATTGTTTATTGTAATCAGTATTACTCTGCGTTTCACAATACATATTAGCTGTAATATACTTCACTCATTCAAAATTGAATATTTCAATTAATATATGTAAATAAATATTTTATTTTCTGTAGGTATGACAACATATTATAATCAAAAATGTATTGTTAAGGTCCTCATGAAGTTACGATTCATTCAATGAGAAGTCTTATGTCGAAATTAAACCGTGATTAATATTGTTAAGGCTCGAACGGGTGAATTAATTCATTATTTTAACATTAGGGAATATTGATTCATAGTTGTAACTTACTTGTTCAGACTTAAAGCAAGCTGTATTGTTAAAATATGACTTGTAAAAATCACTATTAACAAAAATTTTTTTTATTTGATAAGTTTATTATGTGTCCTTTTAACATTTAATTTAATATAATAAGATAATGCGAAAATCTAAAATTTAATTTTTTTGTTTGATTTTAATTTAATATTTTTATTTTCAATTACATACCATAATAACACGGCGATACATCAGAGAGCCCAGAAAGAAGAGGAATTGATTTTGGATTATGAAAACAGTCTTCTAGGCTTGGATCAGTTTGTGGATGAGAAAAGACATTATTTGGGAGAATAAACTTGTACATTGTCATGCCCGATTTGGTCACTTCATCTAAAAAAAAAAGTATTAATATTAAAACTTAAATTACAAGCTGACATGTTGAGATTTTCTGCACGTACTTTTATATTTTAATGGTGTCACTCGGCACATGGTTTTTCTCAAGTATTTCAATGTGTCATTTTTTGATACAAACTGATGGTACGTAACACCTTCAGAAGAACCCTGTACACTATCGCACTTTGAATCCTCCCAAATTCCAAGATTAGGTTTACCATGGTACTTATCTACTGTGAAAAACCTTCGCCCATTTTCCGGACCCATGAATACGGTAACTTCATCCGTAAATTTGTTATAAATCTAAACATATTTAAAAGTATAAAATTTTCTAATATTTAACTTATTATGTAAGGATATTAAATCATAAAAATAAATAAAACAGGTACCTATTGGCTACTGGTAAAAATTGTGAATATTTGTAACACATTCATTTTTCACTTTTGTTGTGATTATTATTTACGTGTGATTAATATAATTATCAAACATACAATAGAGTATAATACTATTCTATTATATAGAATAAATATCATCTATTGAATGCATTAATTTTTTTTGGTTTTTTGAAAATATTAATTAAAAATGTTGATAAATTAACTACCTGGTATAATATACCCATATTTTCTTCAGGAACTAAACCAGGCATCATGGTTTTTGCTTTTTGGACTAACGGGTCAGTTAAATTCCATAAACAATCATTAATAGATGTCTTGATAAACATTTTTGTATCCAACATATCCATCATTAATTTAAAACCATACTTAGTAAAATAAGAAGCATCCCATAAATATGATGCCATTCCCTGTGTAAAAATAAAAATAAATAAATAAAAACTGGTAAAAGTTATATTGCAATCAATTTATTGTATAGGCACAATAAATATTAATTTTTTGTTAATTTAATATTAAAATATGATATTATCTTATCTTAAGTAATTGTCAATCAATTATTCTTATGAGTCATGAATATTACTTGCTTTATCATGTTTAAACTTTAAAATTATTATTATATTTTTAAATGTTTAGTTTTTAGAACTATTCATTAAGCAACTAACTATTATAAAGAAATTATTTTAATTTTTATATGATACTTATTTTTTCTAAACGCAAAATGTTATTAAAATATTATATTTATTATACAGTTAAATTTTTTAGATAAAATTATAGACGCAGTAATGTTTGTTTGAAAAATAATCAAAATTATAAAATAAATGTATTTAAAGCCTAATTGTATTTATTAAATTAAACTAGGTATCACAAAAAAATTTTTCTGTATGCATAATATTAATATATATAATATATATATATAAATTAAAAAATAAAATAATTAAGTCATTAAGTCATTAAAATAATTAAATAAATAAATCATTCAAACTTAATTTATAAAATTCACTATTTATATTTTAAAATAAATTAAAATGTGCTAAGGTTTATTAAAATTGTGACTCATTAAGGTTTTCTACAGAAATATATTATTGGCTCAGAGATCCAAAGTTTTAGTAATCTCAAAATAGAATACCTAGTCAAAAATTACCTATGCTATTATACACTTTTTCAAATCACTGATGTTTTTATCATTTGTATTATTGATTACTAAAATATGAAATATCTAAAAATTTTTAATCATGATTTTGGCAAAAATTATGTTTTTACATAAAAAAGTTTTGAATTAAATTTTGAAAGAAAAATATATTGTTAAGTATTTTAAAATACACTGTAAAAACATAAACATATAATATTGAAACAATAAAAAATTAATTAATTAAATTTTTGAGTATTACCTATATCGAATTAAAAACTAAAAATTTTAAAGATATAAAAATAAAGTATTTTATTTTATTTGTTATCGATTAAAAAAAAATAAATATCCATAATATAATGTAACATTCACGTGTTATAGTGTAACGTCTGTAAGTCTGTAACTTTTAAACTGACAATAATAATAATAATAATAATAATAATAATAATGATACAGTATTTATACCTAATATTGTAATTAACAAAAAATACTAATGATCTAATTGATTCATTTCGTGTAACATTATTACAATCATTATTTCAAATTAACATAAATTGTGATATTATTTTAAAATTAATTTTTAATGAATTTTTGTGTTGTTTCTGGAAACTGTATTTATTGATAATTATATAAATTACAAAGCTTTACATCTTTTTAACGATTTAATTATTATTGACTGTAATATTTGATGTAAATAATAATGTTTATTGCTATTATAATAATATTGACATTACACGTAATCAGTTTTTCATATTTTCATTACGTACCAATGCGGCAAAGTTGGGTAGTATTAATTTAGCGTCCAAACTAATGTTTGTCATTTCTGGCAAGAACACGGCTGTTCTTGTGGCCACATAAGTCATTGTACCATTGTCGTTGAATCTAACATCACTGTGTCGTAATAATTCTCTGGAAGCAAATCACATAAAAAATATCCTGTAAACGTCATTGTATAAATAATGAATTAGCAACAAATCATTTTTAGATATAGGAATATACATTTAACGGTTACACGTACAAATATAAGTACACGCAAGATTATATAATAGTGTTAACACTTACATTTATCGGAAATCAAAATATTTCTCTTTGACACATACCAAATGGCTAATTAACGCATCAAAAATTTAAATAAATGTTATTATTATAAAGGTAGACGATTTAAAGAATTGTTTAAATTAATTAAATATTTGTTGTATCTCTTATATCATGAGTGTAATCAAAAAAATAATTTATAAATAAATGATAAATCTGTTACCAGCTATCATAATATCGTACGCATATGTTTTTTTTTTATACCTTAGAATATGAAAATTTTTACAAGCTTTAAATTTATTATATTTTAAAGTTGTATTCTTCATTTAAAATATAATAGTATCTACCTATTTACTACATGTTATATTCTATTTTATATACTCGTATACATATTATGTAACCGGAAATTTTGAAAAAAAAGATGTAAATTTCTAATTAGGGAAAGAAATAATGTCATCTCCTAATACATGTTATCATTTTCTAATGATAGCAGACAACGATACGTATATCATAGTAATATTATGTATTTAGAAAAAGCAGGCAAATTATATTAAAATATTTTAATACAATTTTAATAAAAAATTAAAGTATAAAATTAAATTTTATAGAAAGAACTTTGTAGTTTAGGAAATGATACACAATTACTGATTAATGACTCATATTAGTCATATTTCATATATTCGTAGAAATTTATATAATAAAATAACTAAATATCACCCACAATTTCCCAAGAATATAAATGAAGTACACGAAACTCTAATAAATATGAATATAATAACTAACAATAATGAACATTTTTACTAATTAATGATAAGGAAATAAATATAATTATATTTACATGTCTTACAAATTTAAAATACTTGTGTTTTATGGAAAATATTTTTCGTGAATAAAACATTTCAATTCTGTACTAAATATTTTTATCAGTATTTTGCACTGCATAGCTTTCAAAGTGGTATATATATGTCTCTGGCATGCGCATTGCTTCCCAATAAAAGTACATCGACTTGTGAAAGTTTCTTTAGTAAGTTATGTGATGCATGTTTGATCGAAGGTTTCATACTTAACCCAAAAATTTTTATAATTGATTTTGAGATTGGAATACACAAAGTGGTTCGCAGTTTATGGCTAAAAACAGTAGTAATTTTCATCTCGGTTAAGCGTGATTTAAAAAATTACAAAATTTGGGCTTGTCTTATATTTATATTGAAAAAGATACAGATGAAGGAGTATTTTTAAATTATATTTTTGGTTTTCCATTTCTCGAACCTGATGAAGTCGAAGATTCATTTGTTTTTGATTTAATTGCTTACATGCAATTTAATGATTAAATAGTAAAATTTTGTGACTATTTAACAGAAACTTATATGCAAAAAATGTTCCCTTTTCCTTCCTTCTTTGTGAGATCTAAATCAGAAATTATAACGAATAATGTGTGTGAATCATTTCATTCGAAATTTAATGCCTAGTTTTACCATTATCATCCATCACTCTATAAATATATAGATGTTTTACAGAATATTCAAGTTGATACATATATAAAAATTAGAAGTGCAGAAGAAGGTGTTGTATAACAAAGAAATAAAATAACGACTCAAAAATACAAATTTATAAACGAACTACGACAAATGAAAGAAGATGGACGAATTTCAAGGTATGAATTTTAGAAAAAAAGTAGATTTTAAGAACGAACAGTAAAATATTAAATACATTTATTAGAGTACCTAATCAATAATTATTGTATTATTAATTTATTATTTCAATTTTAATTTTTTTGAATCTATTAAAAACAATATGTCTATGTTATTAGATATCAAATGATGTACAAACGTTATCGATCAGGAAGGTAGGTCACCAATCAAATGTATACCTATACATATCTATACCATAATTAAGATATTAGTTCTTAATACTAAATATTAAGACATTAGATACACTATATCTAATTAAATGATTAACGCATATGTGTTTTCGTATCGGTATATATATATAGTATTTACATTTATTATATAATAAATTGTATAAAATGAATAGTCGCAGTTTGTACAACAATGTATCTTATCGGTTTTGTTGCAGAATGTATAATGTTAGATTTTTTTTTTGGCGCAGTTTACATATCGACTTTTAGAAAAGGTATAATTTTGTCGCAGTTTACCATCTCCCGTAAATTGTTGTAAAAAATAAAACAACAAAAATGGTTTTATAGTTAAAAATTCGTTTTGCTAAATGAATAGGAATTGTTAGTTGTTTGTCATTAATATAGATATGTATACATTTTTAACATAGTTCAAGGGCTTCAAGATAATAAATAAAAAATAAAACTGTTCATAAGAAATATTGAGTTTACATTTAAAATTTTATTGGTTTTCAAACCTACGATGAATTTAAATAATAATATATATATATATTATGTATTCATTACTTAGTATCAACTGAATAAGTTCAATGACAATGTGTAGGTACAAATATCTACCTGATACTGCCAATAGAGATACCTGCACGGCTGCATCAATAGATTATATTGTATATTTGACTTTGAATGTTATCATCGCATTGTCTTCGTAGGTGAAATGTTACGACTTAAATGTTTGTATAGTCTTAAAATTTGTTTTATTATCAATTGTTATTTGTTTTATAAATTGTCGGTACATACTATATCATTAATTTTAATATTCTAACTACTCGTCTATTGCATATTGCTGTTACAATGTGTAGGTAAATACAAATTATTAATTTCATATTGTTTAAATGCTATTAGACAGTTATACAAACAAATCTATAAGACACCCAAAAATTGTGCAAGTTAATTAATTTGTTAAGTGGTCACTGGTCAGCGCACTATAGCACAATGTTTCGAAATCATAGAATTAATTTTTTATTACTGGTATAGCAGTATGATTTATTAATTAATAATTATTTTAATCATCTAATTATTGTCTGTTTGTTATTTTTAAGAACCAATTGAAATAATAAGGAATTTATATCAAAATCTAGGAAACAATAAATGTAGGTACTAATTTATTAGACGATGCATAATCGATGATATTGAATTGAGTCTAGCTTATTATTTTAATATCTTTGAATTGAGTCCGTAAAGATAAAATGTCATAACTACCTATACAATCAGTGACAAATTTTTAATATTTTGTTATATTTCCAAAAATAATAAGATAAGTATGTATTTGAAATTTCCAAATTATTATTTTCACTATCTATATTATGATAACATTTTCAACAAATTTTAACTCTTTTTGAAATATTTATAGGTATGACAAATTATCAATTTTTTTTTAGTTTTTTTTCTATAACTGTTGATAAAAAATATTCTCTAAGTAAAAAGTACCTTTATTTATTATTATTTTTAATATTTTTTAAATAATTGACTTTTTATACTTATCATAACAATTAAAAAAAGGGAGTCAACTCGAATAACCTAAGAATAATGGTAGGACTCAATTTCGATAACTCAAAAGTATTTGCAGGACTCAATTCAATATTTGGGATTTAATTAAATGTTATCCATTCAGCTGATATCGTGAGACCGTACTTAAAGGTCGTTAGATTTTTTAAATGTTAACACAATATTATTATATATTTATTCAATTTTCTTTTATTGGTTTTATTTGAATAATTCAATTTAAAAAATAAAATGAGAATCGTTTAGTTTTTATTTGACACGTATATTATTTTTTTTTACATTCAATATTCGAACATATTATATTTTATACAATATTATTGAAACAATCATTGCTTTTTTTTGAAAATTTCAAATTTCTTTCTTTCTTGATTAAAAAAATATATATGTATACTATATTTGTTTTTAATTATTAAATTAAATAATTTTCTAATAAATATTATTGCTTACCTGAATACTATTGGACCAATTTCGTTTAGTTCCAGTTTACTATCGATTCCATTCTCAAATCGTTCACTGTTTGTTACATTAAATAGGTACACTCTAAGCAAAACTTCATCAGGAGGATTCTTCCACCACTCATATGCTGGTAGACCACGAACCATTTTTAGTCTCTTATAAATCAAAAATACAAAATAAAATACATTAATATTTTGACCATACTAACAATAAAAATATTAATGATATAATAATGTTATCGTAAAAAAATAACGAACCCTCATACAAGATTTAAAAAAATAATAATTTTTTGTAGCTACCATTCAACATTTTAAGTAAAAGAGTTATCGTAAAAGGCTTTTTTAATACAAATTGTCAAAATATAATTTAAAACATTTATTTAAGTTAGATACGATTGTTAAATCGTTAACAGTGTTCGGAACAACAGTGTTCGGAACGTTCACTAAAAAAATGAATTTGTTCACGTTCGTGTTTTTTTCCAATGAACGCGTTCACATTCACGTTCATTGAAAAATGAATATGTTCATTAAATGTTATTACTTTTTTTTATATAAATCATTTACTTGTAGTCAATATAAAAATTCATAAACATATACGTCTCAATCTAAAAATGAAAACACAATTTAAACTTTAGAGCATAAACATTTTGATAAGAATTTTAAAATTGTACAATTATAAAAATACTAGAGCACTAGGCACACAGATGAGATTTTAATAATTTGTCATCAAATAAAATATATGATAGGAGTTATAAAAGGAAAATATTATTATATAAAATAAAATAATCAATACATTTTATGCATAATATATTTAATAAATAGTAAAAAAATTGAGCGTTTTGAAAATCGTTCAAATTCATTAAAAAAATATAAATATCGTTTGCGTTCATACTTTATTTGAAAAAACGTGTGACATTCGCTTATCGTTCACTAACGGTGAACGTGAAGATGTGAACGTGCGTTCATGAACAACGTTCTTTCCAAACACTGGTAATTATTGTGGTTTAATGAGGACATATCAATATATGCATGTGTTGTAGGAGAGATTTATATAAAAATAAAAAATATTTTTTACATATTTGTATGCACTCAGAAGTCGGAACAAAAAAAATTATATATAAATTATGATTATGGAGTTTAACACGAAATGTTTTTTAATGTAATTTGGCAAGTTCATTGACTTTCGATGTGCGTATAGATCATAAAATGTGATATAATAATAAATTATTATTACGAAGTGTAAACCTAAGATTGTAGAAAATTATTTATGCAACATAAAAAAAAAAAAATAACAATAATAATATTGTTTAATTTAATATATTATATTATTATATTATGTGATAAATAGCAACACGATTAACAAATGATCGTTGTATGTTGTTAACTGTGTGTATTTATATTTTATATTGTAGTTATAATAAATATTTTATTAAGACGTTAATTCTACCATTGACTTTAATGCATTATTGACAGACGTAAGAGTATAGTAAAAGTATATATAATATATATATATATTGTGTTCACCAAAAATTCAAAAACAATAATAATAATAAAAAAAAAATTAAATCAAATATATTAAGGCTTTAAGTACGTGTGCACTTTATATATTATATATATATAGTATAGTCTGCACCTAATTGAGCTAAATGTTGCTATGTCTGTGTGTATTATGTATGTATAATATACTTACCATTAAAATAAGTTGCACAATAGTATAATACACACACACACACATATATACATAATATTTTAACGGCTGAATAATATTCCAGTTTAGCCGATTCAATGTAGCAGGAGTTAGATTTGTAGTAATCGTATAAGTAATATATATAATAAAGTAGAAAAAGGTAATAGTTTTGTTGGTGGTGTAGTAGTATTATAATAGTAATACTGAATTAATAAGACACCTGTGGGCAATACAGGTTTTCTTTAGATAAAAAAATAATAGGTATGTATAGATACTAGTATAGTAGTATATAATAGAAAAGAAAAATATTCGGTTACTTTGATGTATTCAAGACATCTTCGATGGATTATCAGTGGGCTGTTAACATATCTTAAGCTTTATCGACTGTCGTAACTTTATATAAATGAATATTTTATTACGGAGTGATTCACACAGGACGTGTATCACATTAAAGTGCATGCAATATATTTTGAACACGCCACGCTGTCTGCTGCATATTCTGAAGTGGACACCAACTGAGTTGGATTTTCGTATAGAACGATTATAATATAATATATAGCGGTAGTGTTTATATATATATAGTTTATACACATATGTATAATAAATAATATAAATATCAAATTAATTAAGATCCTACACGTTTCTAATTTCCTATGGGCGTAATATTCGAATACTGAATTAATGCATGTCCATTAAAATAGTGAAAATAGTTGTCCGAAGATCGAATAACAAGAAAATATTGTAAATTGTGATGTTCCTAAAAAAGAACGCTACTTAACTAATGTGTGATACGCCAAAACCTTAGATATAAACATACAATCCACGGAAGAAATATAGGTATTAGCGAAACGCTATATAAGTGAGGAATATTATTGAAATTTATTTAGAAATTACTAGAAATTTTATTTTCTTAACTATGAATTTGTATTATTGTTATAAAATCTTTTGTTTCGTTAAGCTCCGATCAAATTGTTTTTTTAATTCTATAATTATTACTTTAAATGTAATATTTTGTGGTCGGTGATTGGAAAGCTATAGAATAATTAGATTTTTAATATTACGTTTTATTTCCAGTTTATTTGTGTTTTTCATAAAGTTAACATTAGAAAATGGTTCAATAAATGGCCTACTTATAGTTTAAAGGAGTAAATATAAATTATAAATTTGCTCTAAATTTATTTTTTAAATATTTGACACCCATAATTGTATTAGTTATTAGCTTCTCTGCAGTACTTAAAATATGTTATTTAAGTTATGATATCTAAAACTCTTTAATTGTAACGAAGTTTGTGGATTTTCAATTTTCGTGATAAGTACATATTATGTGTTCCTATGTTATTTAAAAAAAAAAAAAAAATAGGCTCTTGAATCCTTATTACGTTGTAATGGTATGTTATTTAAATTTTAATAGTATTCCACTGATAATCGTATATGCTCACTAAATATCCATTCATCGCACGCAAAGAATTATAATTTTTTCCATATATGTTATGTTTGAAATTATATAAAAAAAAAACTAATAACGACTTTCCGAAATAGCTTGTAAATTAGTAATTTGTTTTCTTTAAATACAAACATGGTGTAGGTAAAAATTTTTACGTTGATCGAGACGTCGAGTATTTTGTGCAAAAATCAATATTATGGGACCAAATATTGTTAAAGACAATATTTCATTTATATTCCTTTTTCGTAAGCAATATGTTAGTATTTTGGTTTGGTATGTTTACAATATTACTGTCTACCTATATGACTATATATAGGTAATGCGTGTAATTACCTAATATTCTATAAGATTACAAAATAACTAATAAGTACTTACCTCATTCATTAATATGTTAAATGGTGTGTATACTATTGTAATAGTGCCCACGAGGAATAATACTAATGCTGAGAATATATAGAATGAGTTCCCTGAAAATAAAATAAATATTTTGATATTAGTAAAATGAAAACACGTGTTCTATTTGTTTTGAGGTATATATGATTGTAGTTGAAGAAGAAACTATGTGCTATGTGAATAACTTAACAAATAATGTTAACAATAATATTTTTGTTATCTATATAAAAGAGCTCGGATGATTCTTTTGGACATGTAACTTTATGTAGGTACATTGTGAAATCAAATGCAAGTCACTGTAGTCTTTAAATAATGGAATATAAATAATTAAGTACATATTGAAGATTGAACACATCAAGTAAAAATAGCAAATACATTTATGTTTTGCCTCTAGATAATAATTATAATAACCTGGCTTACATTAATTTATTTTAAATATATTTTTAAACCTCAAGAAATAATAAATGTGTCTAAGTATTAAATTAATGATGAAGTATTTTATTAAATTGTGAGTTTTCAGTAAATATATTCCATGTCTTAATACTTGAATAATGAGACTTATTTTAATTTCATAATTCTTTATTACATAGAAGTGAATATTTTATAATTTTTTGTATTTATTGTTATCTTTGGTATTTATAAAAAATAAAGGTATTATTGCTAATATATGCTAATTCATACATATTTATATATAGTTTTAAATCAAATATTTTATAGGTGATACTTCGCATATGGTTACTCGGAACTCTTAAGTTTAAATGGAATAAAAAATTCGTATTACCGATAATTTCGAGTTAATTCTGTTGTTAGAAGGAATATTTTGTCTTGAGTAACGAGGTAGAACTACTAAGTATTTTCCCAATTTCACTTTTTCTGTCATTTATTTATTCATAATTAAAATTACTTATTGTACCATTTTATTAATAAATTACCCGCGGCGACACAAGCCATTGGGAAACATGTTATATAACATATTAGGCTTAATTTTAATTATTGAAAATATAAGTATTGGCTACTGGCTAGTTTACAATTTTTGAAACAATAAGTTAGGTACTTAAGTATGTAATTTATAGTTAATTTATAAGGATATGTTAAAGCCAAGAGAGATTAACGTATTTTTAATGTACATGATTGATAAAACTGCAATAAGGTTTCCACGCTGCCGGGCCACCATCATGTTATTCATGATGTTATATTTTATTACCAAACTTATTTATTATACATAAATATTACAGATAGAAAATGTTAATGTTATTTTATTTAAATAAATAAATATATATTGAAAATAAATTGTAATTATTATTAAATATAATGTATGTGTAACATTATCATAACATAATCTGCTTATGAGTGATTGGATTTTTTTTTATTTTGATTTATGATTTTTAAAGGTGATCTATAATCCTCCAAAATAAGAGAATAAAATTTATATTTAGTGTTATTAATATTATTTTCTAATAATAATCTGAAATCATATTTATCATGAACTTGATCTAAACCCCATATTATTATACTTCTCCAACTTAAAGAAATATACTACCTTTTTATCTACTCGATATAATTTTTATATTTTTGTCTTTTTGTTAATATTTTTATAAAAAGTAATATAAAATTTTAAATTTATTAATAAAATATGAGCTATAATTATTTATACGAATTAATCAATAGAAAACGTTATTTACAATAAACAAATGTTGGTGACTAAAATTATTTTATGTCATATAAAATATAAGCTAGATTTATAAATTAATTTTCTTGTATATTCATTATTATTTTGCATTAATTATCTACAGATTTTCCAAAAATTACAGATTTATATGAAAAAAATCTCATCAATAACACATAAACCAACATATTTTCTCAACAAATCAGAAAATTAATAACTAGCTTATAAAATAATATTTAATTGTGAAATATATAATTTAAAAGATAAAAAATGTTTTGATTAAAATATTATTATATATAAATACGTACTTGTTAATTTAAGAGTATATACACGTTTTGTACAAAATTGTAGGGATCAAGAAGGATTTTTTACACAGATTAACAAAAAAAAAAAAATATATATATATGAGTATTACAGGCATCCAAAAATGTGGTATTTTTTTATATCTATGCTTCTTATACTCTACAACAATAACCTATAGTTAAAATTCAAATTGATAATAAAAATAATCATGATACTTAAAGTAAAAATGTTGTAAGGCTATAAAAAAATAAGTATAAATACAAGTAATGTTAAGTTTCTTGTATTCAAAATATGTATAATGATAGGTCGGTCAGTAAGATAGTGAGCAAACATAATTATAGACGACTTTTAAATGGATAAATTACTTATTATGTAACATTAACTTTATAATATAAAAATTATTTTTACAAAAAAAAAAAAAACCTTTATCGATGAATTAGAATAGTTATTTTTCTAAAGAAATTTTAATTTTTTCAGTTCCTATGAAATTAGATATTATGTCAGTGTCCACTATCCATCATTTCAACGATATTATAATGAATATTATAAGCGCGTAAAACGTATATCTTAAAATGCATTATTAAAATGCATGTATGTGTATGAACCTACTGTTATTATTATAACTTATATTTCAAGAAATACTTAAAAAAAAGAATTATATCCGGCCTGCGATTTACCCTTGGGCTAACATTTGCGTCGATGTTTCTTAATTATTTTTACAAGATGATTCTCATTTTAAAATTCCATGCAATTGAGTTGGATTATGGGCGCTCCTACAAAGCATTATATGCGGTGCCTATAGACTCGGGCTAATGGTTAACCCGTAGCCAGTGGCCGTTATATACTAATGATTCATCAATTTAATGTTGACTATTATAATATACATAATTGAAATGGGTTGTCTATAAATTATAGATTTAATGAAAGTTATATAATCGTACGTACATGAGAACGTTTTCAATTATTGTTGATGGATTGGAATTTTAGGAGGTTTTGGACTTTTGAACTGAATACAATATATTATATTTTAATTATGAAAAAACTTAAAGTTTCTAATAAATTACAAATTTATTCTCGGGTTATATGCAATTTAGAATAAACATAAACATGTTTAACTCAAAAATTAAGTAGTAATGAAAAGTCTGTAGGCAGGTAAAATAAATGTTAAGATATTAAACGCACAATCAAAAAGGACTTTTAATATGCAGAGTGAAATTATCATATCAAATCGAAAGAAAATTGTACTACGTAAATTGTAATTACTATATAGTAATTAGCAATAGCTCCTTTCAGTACCTGAAATTATTTTGTAAAATTCAAAAATATCTTTGTCTAACTCCTTAACCGTTATAAATAATTGTTATTCGAACATCACCAATTTGCCATTAATAATAGCAAATATCGTATTTAATATTAATTCTAGCTCGAACCGAAGATTAAATCTGCTGAAGCTCTCTATGAAATCATTGAGAGTGATGTGGTGCGTCACGATTGATCAATTTTCCCTTTTTTAGTTGATAAAATCTCAAAACAATTGCGTGACAAATTATTTATGTATTCATAAACAACATACTGAACATTATAAATTATAATATTCTTTACAATATGTACTAAAAAAATAATACTTTTTTCCAAATAAAATATAGTATATTGTGTAACTAGGTTAAAATATGTATAAAAATTCATAAAATTCTACATAATTGTTTGACTATACTGGGGGTTGAAAGAATTTATAATAAAATATTAATAGACAGATAATTGATACATCATAATTTTCAGTGTTAATACGATAATAAAAGTAATAATAATAATTATATTAAGTTCTACTTTAACTTATTAATTATTAAAAAATAAATATATTAATGTTTATTTGAAAAAAGAAAAAACTAAAATATTTTAATCAAACCAACAATGATCAATGATCATAATATGTTATTAATATTATTTATTTTAAAATGTATAAATTATGTATTTAATATATTATTTTATGAATTATGATGTGTATAATTAATAAGTGTTCTATGTTGTACATAATTCATTTCGTGTCTAATCGTATTATGGTTTTATTATTATTATTATACATTAATTTACACTTGAATAGTTTTACAAATTACATTAATAAAATATTTAAAAATATGTTAAAAAATATAAGCATAATGAAAACATTTTATCATGTAACTAGAGATCGGTGCGCATTTGAGTCATGATTTACAAGTCAAAAAAGAAAATTTTACTTATGATAGGGTTTTTTATTTACTTATCATGTAAGTTAATAGGAGCACGAAATATGTAAGATATATTATTTTAATTAATATGAATTAGTAATTTTTTAATAGACACGTAAAAGTTAACGCTTAAACAGGCTTTTATAATTTTTATGACAATAAATAGCGTTTTTATATTTTTTCCAAAAAACAATAAATTGAAACTTAGTTTTTGCCTTATAAACCGTGTCAAGTTTATGAGCATAATCGATTATGTCGAACTTCAAATTACAGTTTCTAGTAATAATAATCTATTATAGGTAAGTAATGTTCGGGGTCAACGGCAGTGTTGTGATGTAATAATTTCCAGTTGCTTAGTGAAATGGAAATTTAACGGAATTTTATAAAAAAAAAAATAGCGTATGTTAAGTGCCCTTGACCAGTTGACCAACTTGATAGAGTATTCCAAAAAGAGATGAACAAAATATACTGGTAATTGTATAATATTTGCTGCGTAGTGCTCGATTGTAGTAGGGGTACTAAGTACTTTTTTCATTGTTTATAATAATTTTTAATGAATCGTGTGAATTGTTAAACAGATTCGTATTTACAAATTATGGTTGAAAGTACCTTATGGTTTGATTTAATTTTAGAATCAGTAAAAAATATTAATCTATATTAATTGTTTTATTAAATAAATTAATATAATTAATGCATATATACATTCATATCATTGCAATATTGCATTAATTATTATTCATTATTATAATTATAGAGTGCATTTTATCAACTTCCAGATCACAATTTTTTATTAAAAATCGGATATGCTTCTTACTGTTAATATTATGATATATGAATTGATAAATACCTAATAATAATATTATAAATACATTGTACAAAG